ACCCTAAAGCTCCTTGATCAAGCTCTAAAACAATATAAAAGGGAGCTCTGCCTGAACAAGCCTAAACCACAAGGATTTGTCTCTACATGGAGATGCTTTGTAGAGCAAACTGAGGATGAAATCTGAAGTCATTCTGAAATCCATATGTGTGATCCTGATATACATACAATGTTTCAGGAGGCATTAAAGGCCTCCGCTCCTGTTCTTCATTCCTCTGATTCTGTACCTAAGGGTAGCTGCTAAAGAAAGAGCTAAGGCATATCTAAATCTCTTATGACTTTTCCTGTCTTTTTACTGACTTATTCCATTTAATCTGAAGTTGTGAATTTTGCTCAGAACACCAGAAAGATATGGAATAGATCATCTTCAGACACATTATATATAGATCATCTTATATATGGTAAATTCTTTTATTTCTCTTTAAGCTCAAATTCTGTTCCCAAGGATGAACAGGTACAATTAAGGCACTTTGAGCCCAAAGTTATTTCTGATTTCTTCAAGTGTCCATGTGAGCTTGAGATAAAAATCACTTAAGAAAAATCATAGCACATACATTTGAAAATCCCAAATTCAATCTTTGGGTGATTGTGGAAAGCCCTATAAGACACAAAATTCTTTAAAAAATAAGGAGGTGATAACTGTCAAATTAGGTATTTAAAAATAATCCACTGGATGTTAAAGATTCACGACTTTTTTATTGTTTGGAGCATAGCTATTGATTTAGGTAAAGAAAGCAGACAATCCGCATAATGGGAAGACTGTTCTTCCCCACCCTTTACAGCTCATCCAGTGCCTCAGCCCTGTTTTCATTCAACTCTCTAAATTCTAAACTAAACTGTTGACCGGACGCAACGTGGAAAAAATATCTTGAAATAAACAGGCTTCTATATTTATACACATTCCGCTGTGCTTGTGATAAAACTGATCAAGAAGATGAGTGTTTCTGGAAAACGAATAATTCTTTACAAAAATAAAGATTAAAACAAAAGAAAAAGGTGATCCAGTGTTACATCAGTGGTTGAAGGACAGAGGAGAGATGTAGTCTGAATTTTGCTGAAAGGTTTGATAAACTGTGGAAGACCTCTGAAGCATAGGAACCTGGCAGTATCCATCTGATAGTGGCAGAAGAACACAGGATGCACAGCAAATGAGCAAAAACTGACATAGCCTACTGAGGCTGGTATCCTTTCCTTGCCACGCTGACATATTAATCTATCCCACTGTCCTCTCCCTTGTACCTCCTACTGCAAGCCACGTCTCAATGAGTTTACCTGTCCTCAGGGGCTATGATGGCATATAATACTTTCTCTGTTGTGACCAGTTTTAATTACAAGTTTTAATTGAGCATAAGGCTGCTCTGATGAAGGACACAGACATATTGAGAGTTGGTGAGTAGCAGACCTGGTATTTGTGGCATTTATTTCATTGTAAGTCAGCTACCTGAGACACATCCACATGGGCAGACTAGTTCTCAGGTGTTTATTTTAGTTTGCCATAAAAACAGAGAAGAGCAGTGGGAACAAAGCTTCATTCATGGTTACCCAGAATTTTGTCAGCATTATACAATTTTTTACTTACTGTTTACCATTTCAGACCAATAGAAAACACTGAGAGAAGGCTTATTACCTACTAAACCTTATCTGAAACAGAAAGTCCTGGCAATATGTGAATTGTCCAAGACAAATTTTACTGGCATAATAGTTAAAATATCCAGATTAAGCCAGCAGACATACTGACGAGGTATAATAAAAGCACTGTAGTTTTAAGGCTGCTGCTGGTATCTTGGCAATTTGATAAATGAGATCCTGTCTCATTTTGTGGAGCAATGTAACCTTACTGACTTCAGCAACAGTTGCATGAAAAATACTGCACTGCAAGAACTGCCCCAGTGTTAATGGAAAAGAATAATATCCCCAAATTTAAGGTTATGCAACTGTGTGGCAATGTAGATTGCCTAGAAATGGAGAGCACCAAAGAAACATAAAACAGTAGGAGACTAAGTCCATGCAAATGATTTATAAGGGCATTTTTTCCTTAATGAAATGGTGTACCATTAACTGACTGGCTTCTCGCTGTTAGTTAAGTCCTAAATGCAGCCTGGTGTGTTTTAGTGATAGCCAGAAGTGACTTTGCTGAAGTCAACAGAATAACCTCTGTATATTAGTGCTCCATTAGAGTGAAGCAAAGACAGTGTATTTATTTCTGAACAGGAGCAATGGTACTATGGCATGGTACCTTTTACATGTTGCTATAATGGTTCTCTTATGGTTGCTATAATTTTTTGACATGCCAACTGGGGGCTATGCATTTGTGATTTAATTTTCCAGCTTCTGGTGTACTGCTTCTTACCTAGAAAGCAAACTAGCATGTTTTCAACATTGAGAACAGCGACTAGTTTTGCCATCTGGGATTGCAGAAAGCACAGCGGTGGAAAAAAAAAATACTGTGTGTCTGAACATGGGAAATATAAGAGGCAGTACATGCACACAGAAGCAAATAAGGCACTATTCTATAAACAGCTGTACTTAGCATTGATAATTTGTTAAAAGAGAGAAGATAAAATATGCCAGCTCAAATCCAAATTCCTTTAGAAGTCAGCTTTTTCAGGACCAAGCTCATGAGTCCCCTCAAGAAAAAAAGGAAAACACCCCTAAACAAAGAAAACGCAGTGAAAACCAGTCTTGGACGCATGTTAAATAATAGCACTGCCTTGAGATAAAAGGGCATTGGGGAGAATTTAGAAAGGTCATCACTCCAAGGGTTTTATTTCCATGGGGTCACAAACTTTAAGTTTACTTTAACACAAGCTTAAACTGCCTTCAGATTATTTCTCTTAAGGAAAAACATGAGTTAGGAGAGAATGGGAAAGCATAAACAATTTGAATGTCACAGCCTAGTAAATAACAACAAGTAGCAGTCCTAAAGGAATGGCTGCGGATTTCAAGGAGACATGGACTCATGCAGGATGTGAGTTAACTACCATAGACTTCCCACTATCTTAAAGTGGGCTCCCACTGACGTTATTGGTATCCTGTGGGGAGAGAATAAGACCCATATTTTTAGATTTGTGTACGCTAGCTATTTTCTGGAGTTGTTACAACACTAGTGTATTTTTAGTGGTTCATTATATTAAGTCGAAGAGCCTTTGCGTTGTGTTGTGTCATACGCAGTGTGTGAACTTCCTGAAGCTCATCTGTTCCTTTGATCCTACCAGCCACAATAGCAGCACAGCTGACTCATCAGCCACCCTATTTCTTCCTTATTAGGAGCTCCCCAGGTAGGCAGAAACGTGTCAAATGGGACAGTATAGACCATATTGACTCTGAGTCTATCATTGATGCGATTTCCACTGCAGATGGGAAGAATCTGAGCAGTATCAGAGATACTGCAGATATTCATGTGTTTGCTCTAATTATCCTAAGCATATTTTGTATTCTTTGCAACTATAGTAATGGCACCCTATATTAATGACAAATTTCTTGCTAGGTGCAATTATCTGTGCTTATCGTGTAGATGGCAAGGCTTATTAGATAAACTGCAAGGCCTGATATACATATAGAATTGGTAATTGAATGTATCTTGACTAATAAGTTGATATACAGAGGTCATATCTAGGTGTTTTTTCTGGTATATGTTTCTAGGAAAGACTGAAGGTCAGTTTTCCTTTGTGAAGTCTCTTTGACTTTCCTGTTATAACTGTTATTCAAAATAACAAAATCTGATGTTCTACTAAATCTGTACTTCTCTTACCTCCTTCCTTTTCATCAGTGAACATTTAATTTGTATTGTCAGTAACACATGCTAGCTGTTAGAAAATCCAAATAAAATTATACAATGCCTCATGACAGACATTCCATTTCCCCACTCCTCACTGCCATACACACAATCCTTCATGACAGCTGTTTAAGATGCATGGCACTGACTCTCTCCACAATGCCACTATCTAATGTGAATTTGCTAGAAAAATAATACAGTATTACTTTTCATTTTGAAAACATGGCAGTAACTAAATTCTTATGTGCAACATTTTGAAAACGGTTATGTAAGTTTAGCTTTATGCATTTCAACAGAATTTGCAAAATACAATGTACTTTAACATATTCTATACTGGCTCTCCTGGCCAATCCCCTCAACACAGTGTACACCAAGGCTTTCAGTAGTTTATGAAGCCACATGACTATTGTCTAAGAGGTATTTTCTTCTTTTTCTTGTCTCTCTGCTATTTTTCCTTGTCTCCCTGCTTTTTTTCCTTGTCTCCATTTCTCACAGGTAGAAGCCTGTGCAGCCTTCCTTCCGTTCCTTCTCTTCCTTCCCTTCCTTCCCTACTTCCTCCCTTCCTTCGTTCCATCCCCTCTCTATTTTTGCCTATTTCCCTCTTTACCTCTTTCTTGCGTGTGTGTACATTGCACTGTGAATTTATATTAGTGAAGGAAGAGCTGAAGAAGAGCACTTCTTTATACTTGGAGCAGAAACTGGTGACATCTGAAGTAATGCAACACACTGAACTACAGTGCACAGACAGGAGGGCAGTAAGTTACCCTGGTTCAAAGTATGTTTAAGATAACATTTTGGTTGGCTTGCAACAGCTGTGCTGTAGAAGCTTACAAGCTAAGGAAGGCTGGGCCTCATTAATACTTGGATGGGAGATCTCCAGACAGCACTAAAATGTATTTCAGAAAGTTGCACTACTGACTTCATATCTGGCACTTTGAATTGGTGCTGTCTCAGTGTTTAGCATGATGATAGGGATAGAATATTTCAAGAGAAAAATAGTTGTATAATCAGCTACTTTGCACAGTCTTTACTTCAGCATAAAAGAAAAGTCAGATCCAGGAGATAAGAGTGTTTTAGCACTAAAAATGCATTGTTGCTAGCTGTAAGTATAGAGGTTTTACTGTAGTGTTCTTGGCCAAGCTTCTGCGTGGGTTCCTTCTGCTCATGAGTGTGATTTCACACAGGGCTTGATTTGATCTAAACTCACATTGCTCCTCCTGTGACAGGAGTGAACCTGCTCTCCTCCACTACTTCCAGTTACATACTCTTTACTCTGGATGAAATGGAACCCTACAACACACAGGGGTAATGCAGAAATGACCAGACAGACCAATGAGGTGCTGCAGCTGTGTGATTTAACGATGCCAGCACAAGGGATGTGGTGGAGATCCAACTGTGGGAGCAAGGTAGGGCTATTCTACTGGGCACTCTCAAACAGTCTCAAGTGACTGCTAAAGTGGTGCCCTGCAATCCCTCACTGGTTTAGTCTTGAGAAGACATTCCAATCGTCCTGTTCCAGGCCTTTCTTTGCAGGGTTATTTCCATGAGCTGTCACATCCCTTCAAAGGACGGCTGCTGAGAGAATGAGTGACAGGGCTTTATTTACCTTCCACACAAAAGGTGCTGCCCTTCCACAAAATAAAAGACCTAAAGTTTTCAACTGCCTTTGTCTCCACAAAATCCAAATCCACCAAGAGTAAGAGCTCTCTTAAAATCTCCTGCAGCCTCTCTAAGGGCACCGCAGGGAGTACTGAGGCCCTGGTCACAATGCGAGCTTTTAGGTTGCCACCTCAGTTTTTCAAAATGTGTCAGGCTCCCTGAATGCTGTGTGATGCACAGGAACTGTCTGTCAAGGGGATTTTTCCTCCTTTGGGTTAATTTCTAGGGGAAAGTCTAAAGTGTCCTAGTCTAATACTCGTCACCATAGCACATGTGTATCTGTGCATATATGTGTCTACATGCATGTATACATAATCATAAACACAAACATGTACACACATAAACTCTTCTGGCAAAAAAGGAGGGATAAGCTGTTAATTACAAAAGCAATTCTATCACTGTATGAAATTTAAAACTTAGTGTTTTACTCAGAATATTTTATTATTATATTTGTTCAGCTTCGATAGATGGCAACTTCAGTGAAAGGGAGGAAGAAAAACCAGAGCTCTGCACCAGCCAGTGATGGGAATGGAAACATCTCTCTGTTCCATCCAAATGTAATCTCCAGACCAGCCTTCCCTCACACTGCTCTTTCAGGCAGTGATACGTTGGAAAGGATTTCACAGCTTCAACTGTTTTTTCTATGCACAGGAGAGATTCCTGGTCTCAGCTGTGTAAATGTTTTAACTGAGATTCATGCTTGGCTATTCAGGTCACTGCTTTCTCTTCCGGCCCACACAGGCCAAATGAATCTATATAAGCATAAAGTGTCCAAAATCAACACAGTATTTTTCACTTGAACACACCCATGGCACGTGGCTAACTCAAAGTACAGGGTACAATGCCAAGCAGTAGATTTGTACATTTGCCTGATATGAACTTAGCATGATTTATATGAAAAGATGCAATAGCCTTTGCAAATCTGACTTGGCAGAAACCCCTTCCAAAGGAGGAACCCAAGGAAACCAAACTCTCCCTTCTGCCTTAAATAAGGACTAATCTAACATAGGAAATGTTCTCAAAATATGTAATTTATATTCAGACTTACCATGTATTTCTTTCTGAATTCAATAAACCTCTAGTTCCTTTACTGGAAGAATAAAATATTTTTCCTTCTGCTCTTTCAACTTCATTGTATAAGGATTTTAGGGAGACCTTGAAATTCATAAAATCATAGACTGATTTGAGTTGGAAAGGATCTTAAGATCATCTAGTTCCAACCCCCCACCATGGGCAGGGACACCTTCCAGTAGACCAGGTTGCTCAAATCCCCATCCAACCTGGCCTTGAACACTGCCAGGGATGGGGCATCCACAACTTCCTCGGACAGCCTGTTCCATTGCCTCACCACTCACCAACTCAACAGGAATTAAATTATTAAAACACCTTTAGTTTTAGAAAGACTTAGGTAGCTCTAGAGTCAGGTTTAACTAATGAAAAATCTTGCACGGATTGCGTTCCCACATATTCTCTGGAACTCTTTGCAACATCAAATGAAAATAACAAAATCCAAGGCATATGCTCCTGTGGTGCCAAGACTCTCCTTTTGTGACACTTCCCTAGATGTTTATTTCTAAATTTCAGTGTAATCATAAAACCAGGAACTTGAATACTATTTTTACTAAATAAATGAGCAGGTCATGAGTTTTTTTTTGTGATTGAAACTTATCCTTGTTGCTTGAGACTGCAAGGCTAAGTGATTGTTGGGCCCCCAGAGAAGGGCTTACAAATATTTGCGATGCCACTGTTTGCAGCTGGTTTGGCTCATGGGTTTTCCACTGTACTGGGCTCATCGACACTTGTCTACTGGCATGTACAAGGAAGGCAGAAGGCTTTGCTACTGTCTGAGAGTCCTTGAGAAATAAAACTAGATAGCTCTGGCCTTGGTACAGGAGCATTTACCATTTTAAGTCTAAAAGAATACATATATAATAAAAATAACATAGTTCTTCTGCAATTGATCTTAACAGGAGGAGGAGGGCTTCCATCTTTCCCTAAATTTGGGGAAAAAAAAAAAAGAAAAAAGAAAGGTCTAGAGTTGAAAGAGTGATGCAGCTGTCTTAAACCATCTTTATTTGTGTATCATGGTCATTGTCACCACTGTCACAAACTCCCCTTCTCTTTGCCAGATGCAGAGTATAGAAGGAATTGCTGCCTATGAGCCTCACCACACAAAGACCATCAACGTCTTGCCTACAGCAAAGGAATGCTCAAACTGCTAAGTTATTTGGTAAGCCTCAGATTTTCTTTTTTCAGCTTTATAAATCTATATAGGTATTATATCTTTGCACTTCTTTCCAACAGCATTTATCTCCAGATCTGGGTCAAATTTGGCAATAGTTGAGACAACAAAGCCATGATTTTTTGCTAAATCAGTTTTGTCAGAGAAAAAAAGTATCAAACATTTCCCTGCTTTTGTTAAGGGCAAAGTTGCTCTAGCAAACTGGAAAACTGCTGTTTTTATTTGCTGACCTTTATTTCTTGTGCAATTGGATGAAAGGAATGGCCATTGCTCCTTCTTCTTCCATGTATTATGTTTGATCTGATGTACCCTCTCCATTGCCCCTTTTCCAGGTAGAAAAGTCTTCCTAGTCTACTCAGTCTAAAGTTGTACAGAAACCTCCCATGCTTTTGACCATTCCTGCTCCCCAGGTAGACTTTCGTTCTAGTTCTATCAAAGCCTTTCTAGAACTGGGATTTATATTACAGTATAATGCAATATAACTTCTCTTTGCTTTTAATTTATCTCCCAGTAATTCCCAAATGCCTTTTTCATGGCTGGCCTAAGATAGCTTTTATATAAAACTGTAGAAAAGAACTCCATGCAGGCACTTCCCAGAATCTTTAGGGTTTTTTTCTCCTCTTATTATGTGTTATTTTGCATTTACTGACTCTGAACTCAATCTACTATTTTATTACCCTGTCAGCAGAAGCTCTTCACAGTCACAGTTCTGGGCACCTTGAATAATTTTGTAGCAACAAAAGACTGCCACCTATAAAATGCTAAACAATCCAAAATTTCTAGCCTTTGTTGCCACTGCTCACAAAAGAGAACAAGTCTCATTAGCACTTTGATTTTATATGCCTATCATATTAAGGGGATATTCACTCTATCTATCCTTTATGTAATGCAGAGAAAGAGCAGATAAACAGAAAAGTAGACTCACTGACAGAAGATCTTGTCTGTACTATGGAAGGGATTTGCATATTGCAGCCCAAGTCTGTGTGAAATGAAATAAATAACCTAAAAGCTCCAATGGTGCAAGTCAATTATATCAGCAAGAATTAGTGAAACCCAAGGATCTCTTTCTCAGTCTGCCATCTATGTACAGAGGAGCCTGATGTCTCCACAGTTCCCAAAGGGCTGTCCTAAACTGAAGTTACTAGGGATTTATCACCACCAATATAATAATACTCTATAATTTGAAGCCTAGTTGCTGGACTTTTCATGTGTATTATCCATTGCGTCAAAAGATAAACCTTCAGCTACGTAACCGTGGCAATCCTTCAGTGATTCCACTTTGAAAATATGTAAGAGAAGCTGTGTATGGTGTTTGCTTCTGATTATTTTATGTAGTGAAAATACATGAGATTTACTCTCACGTTGTTGAACCAGTCCCCCTTTCTTACCTTCATGACAACTACTTGCAACATCTGTCAATGCTTGTTGAGGAGTGCACCAAGACACAAAGGGCGCTAGGACAATTACTCTGAGCTATGTACTCCACTGTCAGGATGCTCTTGTCTTGGTTTTGAAAAAATATGTTCAATGGGAATAAGATAAAACCATGTGACCTTTATATGGTTTAGAAAGTATATGTTGGCAAAGGCTTGTCTCTAACAAACACTGTTTCTTCTTTAACTAACATCAGGGGAAAACCCCATAATAACTCTTTTAAACTATTGTAAGACAATAACCTACTCTAGCCAAATAACATATGGCATCTTTCTCAATTCAACCTGCAGTATATCACTTTGACAGACTTCAAACCATCCTCACAGTCACAGGGGGACAACGCTGACAGATACAGAGCTCAGGAAAGTAAAAGGAAAATTTTCCAATTGTTTCAATAGGAAAAGATCCTGTCAAAAGAAGGAAAAGGATAAGGCAATGAAATTTCAACTTATGGGGATAGATGATCCTTCTGCTGCCACAGAAAACCTAATGTATCTGCTGACAACTGCAGAAAGATGTATTTCCTTAAGGAATTAGTTTTTCTTTAATTTTTTTTTCAATATTTGTATGCTTAGGGACAGTTCAGTTTTAATGCCCAGTTAGTGTTGAAAAAAACAAAAGAAGCAAAATTTGCTTCATTTCCAAACTGAAAGAAAATCCAATGCACAATTTGTTTATTATTTCAAGTGAAATGAAATGAAAGTGGCTCATTGAATCTGTGAAAAATAGCAACTAATAGCAGGTATACAAGCAAGCAGCTCCTGTTGAGCATCACAAGAGCCCCCGTCCTGCATGTGTTTATGTGACAAGATCTGGAACTGCCTACTGAAATAACTGCAATGGACAGAGTTTACATGTCTGAAGCACATCTTTGTATGGAAATATTTGCATGACCTGAGTGTTAAGGCACATGTTTTCACAGAAGATGACATTTTCCCACCTATTTAAGGCTTGATTAAAATCCCATTTAAGTTGATGGAAAAGGTCCACATACCTGTAGAAATCGAATTAAGTCTGTAAGAAAAACTCACCACTCTCAGGTGTTTAATCCAGCACTGAGTATTGGCTTGTCTTAATTGGACAAATGTGTGTCTGATGGTGCTCAGGCAGGGCTATCTAGAGCCTGTTACATAACTAATTGCACACTGGGTCTAAATCACTAATGCTGTGTGTGTAAAGCAACACAGAAAGGTCATCTGCCTATGAACAGACTGGTAGGGGAGGTTGTGGAATGGGGAAAAATAGGGGGAGACCAAACCACCTATCACTACTGAGTTGCTTCAGAGCCCTTACTTTGAGAGCTGAAAGGGAGGAGGCTGCCATTGGCTGCATCCAACTTTGACCCAACTTTGCATTTGAAAAGGTAATTTAGCTCTCTCTCCCACTACAAAGCAATCTGCAATACACATTTGCTTTTGCATTGCTCTTTAAAGATCAGGATTTGAGCAACATGGTCTAGTGGAAGGGTGGAAGGTGTCCCTGCCCATATCATTGAGGTTGGAACTACACGAGGGTCCCTTCCAACCCAAACCATACTATGAGTCTATGATTTTCTCTTTTTCAGACTGACACATATGTACAGCTCTAGACAACCTTCCCTTCTTACAGACAAAAGCCACAGCAGTAAGAACCTCTGCAACTCACACCACCATGCTGCAAACATACTGAACAGAAAAAGCAAAACTGCTAATAATTATGCTTGCTCAGTAGGCATAAAATAACGTCTCCTTCCCCCTTTCCCTTTAACACTCTGGAGAGTTAGAAAGAAGCAAAAACACCACAGCATAGTTTAGATGAAAATATTACTAGTTGAATTAAATATATATTAAATTACTTCACTTGCCCATTTTGTTAATTGACGGTAAAGGAGACTTGCTCGGTACTTGGCCAGGGCAATCTTCTGTTCAGACTCGTAATTTGGGTGTCTGTGAAAACCCTGTGTAGACTTATCTGTATACACACATAAGTAAAGGTATAATCATATTATGAAATCAGTGACTAAAAATTTCAGGCCTTTGTGACTGTCTAGCATCATAGGCAATCTGAGGCACCAGAATTGTTCCCAGTATTACAAAAAATGTTACAAAGTTGAAAGCTGTCCTAGCACAACCATATTACATTCTCAAGAACTGGAGCATTTATGAAAAAGCTAGTATTACTACTGGAGTCTTCTTGTAACATTTGGCATGACAACACAGTATTGCTAGGAGCGGTAAAATCATCCGTGAGAGACCATGTCAAGGTCTCCTGAGTCATCAAGAAGAGTCATTAAGGTCATCCTGAGTAGGGTAACAGTCTTCTCTGGAGAAAATATTTGGGTCTATGACAATAAGTAGGGGCACAGGGAATATCTGGCCCATTCATGCAGGTCTGAAC